TCATCTCTCATTTGGTATTGATTCATTAAATTAATAATTAAATTTTGGTAAACTTTCTCATAACCTGGCCTTTTCTTTAGACTACAGCCATGTTTCCCCTGTTTTTATAAATGATGTATACTGATTGTCCATTACAATGGGTGGGAAAGTTTCGTTTGAGCCCTTTTATCCACTGTGGGCTTAGCTTATTTATTTATAATATAGACATCTTAGAAACTGAGAAAGAATCTGTATTTGTAAGGTATGCCAGCATTTGTTTTATAAACAAATTTGGAGTAGTCTTTTAAACTAAAGGCTCTAATTTAGATCCTCAACTTTATCCTTTATTGTATTATAGTTCATACTGTATTTTTCACATTTATACATAAAAATGTCTTTTGTGTTGTATATTTTTACTGTTGATCTACACAGGAAGAATTAATTGTGATTTTGCTAGTTGTAACTTTTTTTTATCCTTAGTATTCTTGGGCATTACCAATTATGTAGTATCCTTCACTGTGTTAACCTATGTTAAAAACTTCTAGGGTGCTGTTTTATTTCATTTTATTATCAGTGCTAATCATCCATTTAACAACATCTGCCTTTTGTTCCACACAGGGCGTTTAGGAACAAAACTGGCCTCCATGCCAGAGAAGTTCCCTGGTTTGGGCCCATGTTTCTACCCAGATTTATTGCCATGTGGGACTATTTCCTGTTAGTAGTTTCCATATATAATGTCGTCAAGATCATGTACAAATACCTTTGGATTGTGTAAGTTTGGATCATCTGATCATCTATTATGTGCTAAATAATTTTGCCTCCTTTACCAGCTGAATTTTTATTCATTATTTATCATGTTCTCACACCACTTCTATTTAGATCATGTGGGTTTTACAAGATTAAAAAAACTCCATACATTCTGTATTTTGCTAAAAGAAGGCCCACTCTGCCCTTGCAATATATTTTTCCATCTCAATTTTCTTTTTTTATTATTTATTTTGCCTGTGCTATGAAATAGTTTTTACTGTTGTGTGCTACTTAAATGACACTAAATGTCTTCTAATTCTGTTTTTGATCTTGCCTAGTTCATGGCAGGCTCTAGGCTTTTGTTGAACATGCTTCGGCTTGCCCTTGGCCTGGTCTGTGTGGATTTGCATCTCTGTGGCGTAGTATTTTGCCTGG